TTGAAAAATAAATAATAATAAAATGGAAATGAACCTCATACCTGTCGGCGGAAGTGACAACTCGGGTTCAGCTTGTTCAAGAATGTCCCCACCAAGGCCCCCGTCTTATTGGCCTCCTCCTTGACCTTGGAGCAGGGGTGCACCAGAAGCCCCAAACGGCTGAGGTGCGCGAAGATCCATAGGCCCTGCATCGTCACGTACACCTCTCGACGGTGTTGGTGCTGCTGCTCCATCTGCTTCTGCAGCCGCGCGTCGTACATGAGCACGGAGAGGAAGAAGTAGGACGTGGTGACAAAGTGCAACAGCAGGTTGAGCACGTCGATGACGAGCACGGGGCCGTAACGGCGGGTCACGTTGTGCACGCTCGAGCAAAGCAGTGCGTACGCGTCCTGGAGGTGGTGGATGGGGATGCCGTCAAGCTCCAGGGCGCCGCTGACCGAGGGCACGAGAGGCAGGTCGCTATTCGACGTTGTCCTCGCCCAGACGGACCACTTGTCGGACCAGGGATCTCGCTGCCGAGACGGCTGACGCACCGGAGCCATCCCCGGCCGGAGCTCTGCCAGGGGGTGGTCACGTTCATGAGGTGGGCGTCACGGAGTCATGGCGCCACGAGTCAACTCCACCCGGAGCACTCACCGAGGGGGTAGCGGGCGGCCGCGACGAGGCAGGCCGACTCGAGGCGAGCGTTGAGCGTCCTGAAGCGACTGCAGATGCTGTAGCTGTCCTCCGCGAACAGAACCTCCATGGTGTAGACGAGCAGGTAGTTGACGTGGTTGGGAACGTGGCTGGCGGCGTGCAGCCCACCGCCCGCGTCGTACACCGATATGAGGTCCAGGACGCTGAGCATCACGACGGAGGACAGCCACATCAGTAGCCACAGCGGGACGAAGGGCGTGCGCGCCCGCACCAGCCTGTCCACCTGCGCACATTAACCCGCATTCTGCCCAGGGGGTACGCGGGTTGCGCTGTTGCGCATGCGCCCACTAGGGGCCAGGGGGGCTACTCTTACCGTGGTCACCTCCTCTACGAAGACGTGGAAGTGTCGGCGGGTGAGAAGGGCCTGCAGAACAGCGACGTTGCCGCTCAGCATGACGACGAGCATGTCCGACCGTTCCGCCATCTGAGATGGACCGGCAATTTCAATGAACAAAACTTGAAAATTGTTGTGTGTTTTTTTTTGTCATTTCTTTTTCCTGTGCAACGCACCTTGTCGGTTTTAGTGGAGGTCGAGGGCGATGGGTTCATTTCTTCTGCCTTCTGCCGGAGGTAGAAGAGCGCCACGAAGGTGGACGGCACGCTGATCAGCACGAGCGCGAGGGAGTACGCCTCCCACCGTCGGGAGGGGAGGAGCGCGGCCGCAGCCCCGCACCTGCAGCGCCTCCCGACCCGCGGCGGCGGGCAGCCGCAGCGCCGTCTGAGGGAGAAGGGCGCCTGGCCTACGGAACGCCCCCACCGCCACAGCCTGCGAAACACAGCACAGGGGTGCACCGCGTCCGAAGGGGTGGCGCTGGCGCGGGAGTAGACTTACCATTCCTTCTCTAGGTACATGTCGTTCACGGCTAGTGCGGCCACGTTCGACCTCGGTGCTCGCCTTCCCCTGACTGCGCACCCCCACTTGATTCGACCAAAGCGCCTGTCGTACCGCCCCCCCCCCTCCTCCCCGGCCCTTTCGCCCTTACCCGTTTTCCCAAAGGGACGGTCCGCGGGTGCTAGTTTGCAGTAAATCAATAACTCATGAGTTGTAAAGCTAATGACAAGGGTAATTATTCTCAGTTAGTAGTGACTATCGGAAGTGCTTAATAATTCACTGAGAATATTGCGAAAGCTAGGTGGTGTTGTGAGTTGTGTGGTTAAAAGATCATCGCATGGGACGCGTAGCACAAAACTTTGATAACATGTAGTGCTTGTGTGCATCTTGAGAAGCGTGTGGATTGCTATTGATCCACACGACTGTATCTCGTCAAAATTCACCCTAAGCCAGCCCTCAAAGCGCCTGATGGGTAGGCAATATCATGCCTGCCGTGCACGTGTGTGCTGCGGGGAGGCCTACCCAGAGTCTTGCAGGCGCCTAGCTTACTAGCTTCCGTAATCTGCGAATGAATCTAAGTAAAACGGATGTGGTTTTTGAATGATCCCATAAACAGTTTCGACCGCCATCCTACCCGTCCCTGGCTCGAACGCGTTGTCTGAGCGCAGATCTGAGCGCAGTTTGATAGTTGTGGACACGGCACGTGCAGGTATTGGGGATATATACTTACACGCAGCCTGTTCTACTCTTTAAAACAATTGTGCGCATGCTTTGTGTAGTTTTTGCCAAGGCGTTATTCAAACGCTTGTTTATTTTCCTATAACTTCCTTTTTTTTCTGGAACCTTAACGTTCAGGACCCATCTTCTTGAATTAGTCCCTCCGTATACATCCACGCTTCGTGTTCCGCTGAGCGTACACACAACTCTTTTATTCTTACATCCTCGTGCGCACATTTATTGGCCTGGTAAAAACTGTAATTTTCATTCTCCCACTTATGTGTGATATTCACACAGTTCGATTTAATGTATTAATATCGACATTGGTTGAAGGCACTCTGATCTGGAAGAGCACTACTAAATACGTGGTCACTGCCCCTAGTAACTGCAACAGGACAGAAAACTTATTAGTAAATTATTAACTCAACAATGACAATAACCTTATTACGTAACGACGAGTTGTGGCCGAATTTTAAGGAATACCCACAGACAGAAGGAGTTTCAGATCAAGTTCGAAAAGGCCGCAAGGACTGAAGCCTACTCGCTGATGCATAAGCTGCATAGAAAACAGCTCCAGCTGCCGACACAGTGATTGCAACGTTAGCTAGTGTTTAAAACCAACACCTTGTTGTAGGGCCCCGTGGACCCGGGTAACCCAGATACCCGGGTTACCTGATTCCCGGACCCGGAAGGACCAGTTTACCCGGTCCCCACCCGGGGTACCCGGGCCCGGGAGGGAACCCACGGATCCGGGTTTTGAGAGCCTTGCCTTGTACAAATTGATGAAAATGTCAATATGCTTCGTACCTGTTTGCGCAAATGACAGCAAGGGTGCAGCATGTTCAAGAACGTCCCCACCAAGGCCCCCGTCTCGTTGGCCTCCTCCTTGACGTTTGAGCAGGGTTGCACCAGCAGCACCAAGCGACTGACGTGTGCGAGCATCCACAGGCCCTGCAGCGTCACGTATACGTACATCGTAATCCGGTGCGCAACATTCTGGTGAAGCTTCGCGTCGACTACGATCATGGAGAAGAAGAAGTATGCCGTGGTGACAAAGTGCAGCAGCAGGTTGAGGACGTCGATAAGGAGCACGGGGCCGTAGCGGCGCGTCAGGTTGAGCGCGCTCGAGCAAAGCAGGGCGTGCGCATCCTCGAGTTGGTGGATAGGGACGCCGTCAAACTCTGGGACCCCGCTGTAGAAGGACTTCGTCCTCGCCCTAGTGGAGCTCTTGTCGGTCGGGGCGCCACGCCGTAGAGCATGGGTGGGGGCGGGCAGCTTCCGACTCGTCTCGCCCACCGGAATCATCCCCGGGTGGAGGTCTGCCACAGTGTGGTCATGGTCGTGAATGTCGGCGTCATGGAGTTTGTGGCTCCGTGAGTGCAGCTGGCGCACTCACCGAGGGGGTAGCGGCTGGCCGCCCCGAGGCAGGTCGACTCAAGGCGGGCGTTGAGCGTCCTGAAGCGACGGAAGATGCTGTCGGTCTCCTCCGCGAACAGGGCCTCCATGGTGTAGATGAGCTGGTAGTTGAACTGGTTGGGCACGTGGCTCAGGGCGTGCAGCGCGCCGCCCACGAAAGACACGTACGCCAAGTGCAAGGCGCTGAGCGTCAGGAAGGAGGCGAGCCACAGCACTCGTGACAGCGGCACGGGTGGTGGGCGCGCCCGCAGCAGCCTGTCCACCTTGGGCAGGAGAGAAGGACCCGTTAGATGCAGGAGGGTGAGCGTATCAAGACCGCAGCTGGGGTTGAAGCCAGGGCGGCTGCTCACCATGGTCACCTCCTCCACGGAGAGCCGGAAGTGGCGGCGGTAGAGTAGCGCCCGGAGCACGGCGACGTTGCCGCTCAGCATGACGACGAGCACGTCCAAATGTGACACCGCCTTTGACAGACCAACAATTCAAAATCTAAGCAAAACTTATCAAGACTTTGCATTTTCTCGTCCCGCGCACTTACCCTATCGGTCTTGTTGTAGGTGTACTGGCTGACTTTCTCCTGGTAGTAGAAGATGAGATTCGCGAAGGTGGACGGCACGCACAGCAGCACGAGCGCGAGGGAGTACGCCTCCCACGGCCGGGAGGGGAGGAGCCCCTTCCCGCACCTGCAGCGCCCCCCGACCCACGGCGGCGGGCAGCGGCAGCCGCGACCAATGGAGAAGGGCACCTGGCCCAGCGCCCGCCCCCACCGCCACAGCCTGTAAGGCATAGCACAGGATGCACCGCGTCCGAAGTTAAAGGGGTGGCGCGCGGGAGTAGACTTACCATTCCCTCTCTATGTACATGCTGTAAACGTGCGTCCGCCGCACTCGCCGCGACCAGACTGCGCACCTTCTGATTTGTCCAAAGCTGTTGCCACATTCGACCCCCTCCCCCTTTTCCCCCAAACCAATCACGGGTAGCTTTTCGAGTCACGTTCGTTGAATCATTCTAAAACGGGTCGAATGCAATGCATTATTTTGAGTTCATTTTACATTGTGGTAAAGGCTTGTTCTGTTGAGCTTTGTTTCTACAAATTTTGAAAGTATTGTTTTCCTATTGGCAGCAACTTGTTTCACAAGCTTTTTGGACCTGAAGGATGGCTTCGTGATCTTGTGCAATGGAATGAACTACATCCATAATGTTTAGAGTAATGTGTGTAATCAGACAAATAGGCAGTGCAAACAACAACAATAATTGGTTTGAAAAATTGCAAGAGCTGAGGTGAGGTTGTGTGGTAAGTTGCAAAACAATCCTCACCCTTGCTAGAGGTCAACTAGAAAACTGTTTTAAAATTTTAAAACGTTTTTATTAGTCATTAAAAACTTAATGTTAAATTAAATCTACGTAGTTCACATCAAAATTAAAGTATGAAAGTTATCGTATATCACAATTTTCTAATGTAAGACTGTCTCGTCATTAAATTACAATTTAAGATTCAGGTATACCCATGAAATGGGCGCATTTTTTCCAGTCATCATCCTTAACCCTAAGACCTTGAAAAAGACTAGAATCTCATTCCTTCACACTACAAAAATAAAATTGATAAAAAACTACAATTGCTTCAAAATAAAAATGGGCGTAAGTTTTTCCATGAAAAACAGAGGTCACTCAAGAAAAAATAAAAATAACATACAATGCAGAGTGGCGATCATAGTCTCATTTTCCCCTCTGTAATAGCAGTCATCACAGCCTCGGTAACGGGCTCGTAGGTGCCACCGCGTGCGACGAACACGGGGTCTGGGCAGGTGGCCGGATCGAAACCTTGGCGCTGCAGCTGAACTTTGCTCACCTGAAAATTTCAAACGATAAAGAAAGTTGTTTCAAACAAGAATACCATTTATTTATCTTTTAAAAGAAACTGATTGAATGGGATGATCCCTTCTCTGACCTTGTGGGTGCCCGTCATGGGCAGCGAGTCGGCCACGCGGACGAACACCGGGCGCGCGTAGGCGGGCAGCCTGCCCCTGAGGCCCTCGGCCAGCTCGCGCAGGTCGGCGCGGCGCTCGGGGTCCGCGATGGCCGCCATGCCGGCGCGGCCCTCGGCGCCGGGCACCGTCACGCCGTACACGGCCACCTCGCGCACGCCGCGCGCCAGCAGCAGGCGCGTCATTACCGCCTCCAGCTCGGCCGTCGACACGTTTTCGCCCTTCCACCTGTCGGACGAAAAAACAGAATTACAGGGTGACGACGACGACGGCGGCGGCGGCAGGGGGCTGTTAGGGCCGGCTAAACCGCAGAGCGCCCGCGGGCGGACCCCGCGCCCCGCCCAGCGGGTAAGGGCGTAAAAATAAACGTCACAGCCGCGCTAACCTGAACGTGTCGCCCATTCTGTCCCTGAAGTAGATGTAGCCGTACGCGTCCATTACGACCATGTCACCTGCAAGCACACAAATCGTTTTATACGGCGCGCAAAGTGCGCACTTGCAGCAGCACCCCACACCGCACGATGGCGAGGAAAGGAAACTCACCCGTCATGAAATATTTCTCGCCGTTGCCAAACGGGTCCCTGAGGACCTTCTTCTCCGACGCCTCCCGGTCCAGATAGCCTGCAAACTGGCTGTGGACGGTGTCCTCGCGCACCTTGCCGATGAGCATGCCGGGCTCGCCGCGCTCGCAGCGCACGCAGTGGCCGTGGTCGTCCCGGACGGGCTCGCCGCTCTCCTCGTCCACCTGTACCAGCTCGTAGGGCCAGGTGAAGCGCGGCATCAGCTGCGGGATGAAGCCCAGGGCGCCGATCTTCTGGTCCATGTTCACTGCGAAAGGGACAAATAATCGGTTCAGTCCAGCTGCCTCACCCACGAAGGGCGTTCAAACTACAGCGCGTCCCTCGGCCCTCAGCTCACCCAGCATGACGTTGCCCTCGGTGGAGCCGTAGAACTCGATGACGGTCGGCACCCCGAAGCGCTCGCGCACGCGGCGCCACACGGCGGGGGAGATGCCGTTGCCCACGAGGCTGCGCACCTTGTGCTGCTTGTCGGCGGGGCTCTCGGGGGACAGCACCAGGAAGCGACACAGCTCGCCGATGTAGTGGGCGATCTGGAACACAGAGGGAGGGTGTGTCAGAGCTGTCGTGGTGGTGGGGGGGGGG